GGTGACCAACAGTTACAGACCTCAAATACAAGAGGAAACAGGAGTTGTGAATTTCAAAGTACAAATGTGAAAAATGTTGCCAGTAAAATGAAATTACTTTGATTCGTGGGTAAAAGAGAGATGACAGTAAATATGAAATTGGCTAAACTAAAAGTTTTTATACACATCCTATAGCCCAATTCTTACACGTTTACCTACTCAACAAATCAGCTAAATTCTTCCTAGATATGAGAAGTATCATTTTTGTTTTCTAAAATAACAAATAGGAAGGGTGCCTGGCTGGCTCGGTTGGTGGAGCATGAGACTCTTGATCTCAGGGTTGTGAGTTCAAGCCCCATGTTGGGTGTAAAGCTTATCTAAAAAAAAATAAAATAAAATAACAAATAGGATAACATGTACACCTTAAACCCATATTCTGGTTAGACACTCTGGGGATGACAGCAGATTCTGTCTTCCAGGGGGTATGCTAGAAAAGTTTTCTGTTGTTGTTGTTTAATTTAATCTTTTGGGAATAGCAAGAGTCAATTGTAGATTTTGAAGTTGGTATTGAATTGTGACAAAGATGATCTCAGGGCTGCTGGGTGTAAAGTGAACTGGGTCAGGCCCTTCTCCCCAAAGTGAATGGATGTGCCTTCCCAATAGCGTCCTCACTGGGGAAGACTGATTAGAAATACCAAAAATAAACAAAATAAAATAACAAATCTAGTGTTTTCAAACAGGTTTCCCAAACAAACACATTATATTCTATTAATAGAATTAAATTCCAGGGGTCATTAAGTCAGAATCAGAAAGTCTATGTTAACCTCCCCTTTTACAGTGGATGATTAAAATTAGAATACACCCCGGCAGAAAGTCCGACTTCTTTTTTAAAAAAAGGAGAACAGCTGCAGAAGGGGGAGGAGAGAGACGGAAGCAAAGAAATCTTCCACCGAGAGAGTTGAAACACTGTTAGGCTCTCAGAAATGATTTGTACATTTGTGTCTCTTTTTGTTTAACACGATCTTTTTTGGACTCATTTTCAGCCCACTCCTTGCGTGTGCGGAGCCGACTCTGAAGTCACGGAGCCACCCAGCAGCCGGGTCTTGTGGATTTCCGACGCAGGGCCCTCCCGTGAGGGAAAAGTGCCTCTGTTTCTCCCAGCGACTAGCCGCTGGGACGCCCGCGAGGGTCCGCGGCTGGAGGCTTGGAGGAAACCGACGCGTCTTTACAGCTGCGTCCAGACCCGCTTCCCAGGAGTGGGCTCTCGCGGCTGGGGAGGGAATCGGCGGCCGAATGTTAACCGAAAGCTGAATGGGACGGTATCAAAACGCCGAACTGTTGATGAGGATGGAAAAAGGAGGAATGCAGGAAAGGCAGAATATCCCAGGTGCCTTGGACCAGCAGGCAGGGCTTAAAAGAAAATCAAATGTCAGAGATAGCTCAGGGACTCCTCCGTTCCCGGGTCCGAACATCCAAGTGTCAGAAAAACTGGTGAGAATCAAGCTAAAAGACAGAAAGAGAGAAGGACACAGAGAGACATATTTTTCCTCTTGCCTTAATAGTAGTAGTAATATCAGCATTAGTATTAACAATATTAATATACCCATTCCCAACCCTTCATCCTCCTCAAGTCGTATCCTGAATGCTCCAGCCAAGCCAGCTCAATCTGTCGGCCGCCTGCCCACCCGCATCCAAGAGTTATGCAGATGTTTATGGCTGGAAAAAAAAAAATCCCAGTTATGCATTCTTGTATTTTTAAATACTGACTGTAAGTGATTCAAGTATAATCCTTTGTAAAACGCTTTTCTCTTTGACATATTGAAGGGGGTTGAGAGAGGAAAACCCGGCGTGGATTCCCCCTCGCCGGTCCCTGTCCCACCCTCCACCCTTGCCCCCACCCTGCCAGCGTCGGGGCCCCTGGCAGTCCCTTGAGCCCAGCACCCAGAAAAAGTGGGCGTTCGTGCCAAACCCTCGCACTGGCTTGGCCCAACTTCAGTCACAATTGGTCTCGATTCTCAGTGCTGGACGCGCAGTAAGTTGTTTGGGAAGAAACGCGTTCGTTCAATCATAGGCTCACTCTCTTACCTTTCCTAATGGGAGCCGGGCCCTAAGAATTCAGAAATGTAGGCGCTCAGACTTGGTAGCAGCCGAACCTGGGTCTTTCCCACCCTGGAGCACTCAGGGCCCCCACAGTTCCGCTCCTTGCATGAGATTTGGGAGCGTCCGACCTCGGGGTGACAGCCTAACTAGTGGAAGCGAACTTGCGGAAAGAAGAGAGAAGCGAGTCTGGGGAGAAGAGGGAGACTCCCAGACCCCGCAGTCGACACTCGCCTGTCCCCTTTTGCCCTGTAACTGCTCTAGTGAAGGCCGCGCTCCACTGGCCGAGCTTTGTCTTGAAGCGGACTTTTCCCAGAGTTAAAGACGGAGGTAAGAGAGGTCGGGGGACGCTGCAAACCAGAGAGCAGCCTCCCGGCTCCGGGTGAAGACTAACTGCTCAAGGCGTTGGGCCACAAGACAAAAGTGAGCGTTCAAACAGCGGTTGTTTGCTGGCGGCCATCCCCCTGACACCTCGGAGGCTCGTCCGGCCTAAAGAGGACGGCGACTGGGCGCCACTGAGGTCGAGGCGCTGTCCTGCGACCGCAATCCTGGCTTTGAAAAGTACCAAGTCAGTCTGAACGCGAGCCTCCAGGCCTCGCCTCCAGGAAGCAAGGTCCCCTGGTTGGTGGAAGGGGCGCACGGCGCCCAAGGGGCACCCACAGGCCTGACATCAGAATAAGCTAGAGCTTCGGGCCAGTCTTGAAGGGTTAAAGGGGAAGCTGCGGGACGAAGATGGATAAGTTAGAAAGTTGTTAGTTAAAAACAAAAAAGAAAAAAATGGTTTGGGTGACAGCTTGCTGTCCCCTCATCCTCCGCACCGCCCCCCCAACCCCTCGCCGGCCTTTCCGGACTCCAGTCCAGGCTTTGCGCTGAGCCCGCAGCCCGGCGCAGCCCGGCCTCTGGCGAGAGCCAATCACAGTGCGCCTCTCAGCACGTGGAGGAGAGAGACTCCAGAGCTCCGCGCTCGCTGCTCACTACACTTGTTACTGCCTGTCCTGAGCGCGGAGAGGGCGAGCTCCGGCCGCGGGCAGGGCGGGAGGCAACAGCCGGCAACCGAGGGAGACAGAGAGGCGCAGAGACCGCAGTAATATCCACTATAACCAGCCATCTGAACCCCACCCCCCAACACACACCCATTATCCCACCCTTCAGGAGAGGCAGCCAGCGGCCCCGCTCTCTGCGCCCAGGGAAAAAGCCCCAGCCATGAGCAATCAGTACCAGGAGGAGGGCTGCTCGGAGAGGCCCGAGTGCAAAAGTAAATCTCCAACTTTGCTCTCCTCCTACTGCATCGACAGCATCCTGGGCCGAAGGAGCCCTTGCAAAATGCGGCTGCTGGGAGCCGCGCAGAGCTTGCCCGCCCCACTGGCCAGCCGCGCCGACCAGGAAAAGGCCGTGCAAGGTAAGGTTGCGCTCACCAGGCACCTACAAAGAGCGCTGGGCACTGGTTTGGATGTTTGATGTTCGGGGGCCAGGGGCCTGGGGTTGTCAAGGTGGACATGGAGGAAAGAGAGAGAACAACTCTGAGGCCTGGTGTCTCAAAGAGCGGCAAACATCTCGCCAGGGGCTGCCTCTTCCTCTTTGCTTCCAGAAACAGAGGCCAAGCATCGCTTTGGAGGGGGTGGGGGCTTAAATTCTCGGTATTGAGGTCGTTTAAATACCCGCTTTGGTGGCCTTGGGAGTGCTCTGAAGAGGGGCGACAGGTCAGAAACAGCAGGTGCCTGGTGGACCCTTGTAACAACAACTTGAAGACAAGAACCCCTAAAGCTGTGAATAGGGGTCTCCAGACAGACTGAGCCTTGGTCTTTCCTCCCTGGAGGATTTCTTTATATGCGGTGTTCTCCCCACCCCTCCCCCCGCCCTTTCTTTCTTTTTTTAATTGTAGATTACTTGTGACCTTTTAAACCCAAGCTTCGCAGAAAACATCTCCCTGGGATTACCCAAATGCTCCTTATTGTATTTGAAATGTATGAAATGTGAGGCTTCTGGGTACTATTTTTTCTCTGCTGTGTTATTTTTAAAAATAGAGTTGAAATATTTAAAAGGTTTTATTTTTTTTTTTTTAATTAAAAATTCCAAAAGAACCGTCGTTTTGCCCCGAACCTGTTACGCTCAAGTTTCGCCTTGAGCTGACTGCAGAGGTATCACAGGGAAAGAATTGTTGATTTCTTTCAAAATCCCAAATCCAGCGGTCCAGCCGCAGCGCCACTTGGAAGACAGGAGCAGATGGCAGAGAAGGGGCCGTTTAAAATAAAACTGACTTTTTCCTTTTCTTTTTTTAGCCTGCAGTGGCACCTATGCCAGGCGCTTCCTCGAAGGGAAAGAGCGGCCTGTGCCTGTTGTACCCCCCTTATGCCCCCTCCCAGGCCTTTCGGAGCCAATTTTCTCCAGGACGATTTTTCTTTGCCTTTCTGTGCAAGGAGCCGTCGCCCCCTCCAGCTGCGGGCGGTTGGGGCACGGCCCGCGCTCAGGGTCCCTGGGCCGCTTCCTCAGCCCCCCCCAGGGGTCGCTCACAGGGCAGCGCCCCTCTCGCCAGCCTGGGCCTGCGTGGCAGAGCAGCGGCAGAGGTCGTGCGCAGAGTTTTCAGGGTGGTAGTGATTTTTTTTTCCAAGTTGTTGGATGTTTTCAGGTTCTCCCATGCCCCGAAATGAGGAGGGCAAAAAGTGAGAGAGAGAGCAAAGGGAAAGAAAAAAGAAATGAAGAAAGGACGAGGAGAGAGAGAGCGCGGAAAGCGCACAAAAAGGCAGGAAGGGGGAGAAGAGAAAGATGAGGAAAGAAAGGGGGGACGGTAGAGAAAGAAAAAGAGAAGGAAAGTAAAAACGAAAGGAAGAGAAAGAGGTAAAAGGAAGGAAGAAAGGAAATAAAGGGAAGAGTGGGAGAGGGCAAGGAGAGAGGCGAGGGGCGGAGGAGGACCGAAGAAAAAAAGAGAAAGAAGCAAGAGAA